TTTACATGAAACTGTCACAAGTCATTTGCATATTATATGATATTCACTCAAGTAAAAGTCAAATCCTTTTGTTTAAATTGTTTAGACTAAAAGAACTATGGAGAGTCCATAAAACCCATACATGGTGTAACCATCCACGTACGCCATTAATTTTCACAAGAAAATGGCACTTTTCTGCCAACTTTGTGTTTATTAAACAAAGCTGCAACTAAATCTACCATTATAAAATACATACTTCTTCAGCAAATGGAAGACAGAATAACTTCATGAGGAACTGCTACAAATCTATGAATTCTAAATCTGTTGCTTACTCTTGGGTCCTTAAGCATGCATTTCCTTTTTAGCCAGTATTCTTAAATAGATGCATAAGACTATGGCAAGAACTACTGTGGCAATTGTTATGCTAATACTCAATTGGGTTTGAGTGGATACCAATGGGAGTTTACAAAAATGTATTTGAAGGGCCAGGGATTTGGCTTAGTGGCATAGGCGCCTACCTGGCAAGTGTGAGGCCGTGAGTTTGATTTTCAACACCAAGAAAGGAAAAAAAAAGTTATAAGGATTCAATTGAACTTTAGTAGGTCATTTCCAAGTATTCTTTTTATTCCTATAGAATTTAGCTCCCAAAGTAGAAATACTCTAACAGGGCATAGAGAGGCCAATAAGTACGTATGAGAGAACAGTTGTGTCCCAGCCTGCGGGTAAGTCCATGGAGATCCTAGAGGGGGAGTGGGGATGAAAAGGAAACAAGGGACCCAAAGAACGGAGACAAGACGTAGTAGTCTGCTCAAGCCTTGTTTATTCAAGGAAAAAGTATCAAATATATAGGGTATTAAGGAGCAGGGAGTTGGGATCTGAGACATCAGCAGGTAACTTAGCAACAGTGGCAAGACTGAGGGTCATAGGTTAATTCAAATTTTCAAATTATGAGCGCGGGCTCATCAACATAATTCCTGAATAGGCCAGGCCAAACAAGCTAGGTAGGCAAGGTGCTGCTTAACTACCAAACTTAACTCCTAGAGGGAGTTAAGGTGGTGTGGCCTGCAGGTATAAGGTAGCAGCCAATTACAGAGCTTCCCACACAGTTGTAACTCAGGTTGCTCTTAGGTATTCCATTCTGGCAAACAATCTCATAATTCCATTACAGAGTAAGTCTCAATTAAAATTTCCTGGGGCAACTGGCAGCAATAGCACATGTTGTAAGAGTGGTAGGATTATAGGTTATCAACATTTGTTGAAGACATAGTCCTCCATTTTGTTGATTTGGTTGGTATTCTAAAGAACACATTGGGAAAAAAAGTGGTAAGATTTAAGGCAGAAAATAAAGCATGTATATATTCACTAGGGGCTGAAAGATCTGCCCTGAAAGCAGATATAATACAAATAATATAACTAGGACCCTTGGATGGGTATATTTATTATATTCCTTATTTAACTTGATATATTCTTTTTTCTGTTTCAGTAGAACATGTCTTTCTAATCTCCAATTCCTTTTTACAGATGTCACATTCCTTAAAATATTTTATTGTCCTACTATGTGAGTCAATCATTATATTCCTAGGTATTTACAAAAAAAGAAAAGAAAGAAAGAAAGACACAGACTTAACCACAAATGTTTGTAGTAACTTTGTTATAAAAACAAAATACTGGGAACAAACCACACGTTAATCAATAGGTAGACAAACTCATCATTGTATATGTTTTAGTCACTTTTTTCATTGCTGAGACAAAATACTCAACAACCCAAAATTAAAGGAGGAAAAGTTTATTATAGCTCACAGTTTGTAAAGCTTTCACTTCATATTTGGTTGGCTCTAAGGAGAAGTATGGCAGAGAGGCACCGCTGAGCTGACAGGCAGAAGACAGCAAGCAACAGGCCACACTAGACTTCTTGCTCTCTCACAATTTATCCCACCCAGAGTACTCTTAAATCCTACCCAGAACTATGGAAAAGCAATCAGTGGACTAATTTAATAATCGCACAACCTTGAACCCAGCATCACACACTAGATTCAGCCATATCTGAAAAGCCCCATCTATCACCACAGGAGGCTTGGGGGGACATCTAGACACAAGCCATAACAGTATATGCACACAATAGAACACTAAGTAGTAAACAGAACATACTATTGATGAATGCAATCATATCAATGACTTTCCAAATAAATATTCTAAAAAGCTACACAAAAATTGAGCACAGTGTAAGATTCCAGTCACCTAATGTTTTTGAAAATGTAAACCACGTTGTTTCAGAAAGATCTTTCTTCCCATAGGTTTGGCAAGCACTGGGAGGATGGAATGCAAAAAGCCAGTAGGATAATTTTGGAGATGATGGTAATGGTTAAGTGGTTATGGTTATTGTTTTGCGAGTATACACATTTCAAAACTCTCACCAAATTGTACCTTTTAATTGTGTTTAATCAATTATACCTCAGTGAAAATATTTGTAAAATACAGGGTTACCAGGCCCATGACACACCCATTTCTGCCATAGGACTCAACTCCCTGAAAGTTTCAACTATCTATTTTCAGCAAGAATCATTCAAATAAAGAGGCCAGAAAAAAAAATTCCAGCAAAATATTGATGTTCTCCATTTTAATATAAATCTTTTCCCCTTATCAAACACCTAGGGATAAAATAAAGTCTATATATTGTTCTATATACAAATCAGCAATCTCCTGACTTGGTTCTGAGCTTTCACATCTAGAATATTCTAAACTCTTCATATTCAAAACTTGATTTTTAACATTGCAATTCAGTGACTGGCTTGAACCACTTAGACCTTAAACTTCTCTGGAACACTGCCTAAAACTATCTTGACTATTAAAAGTAGCAAACAACAATAGTTATCAACATCTAGCATTATCTAAAAATATTTCCTTTTTCTATCATTAAATCCTTGCCACAAATGTGACTGCTTTCTGATGAGCGCCCGCTGTTCATACATGCATATTTAATGTAGGTCAAGGCCAACCCACAGCAGCCTGCCTGAAGCTACCTATTCATAGCAGTTCCTTTCCTGAGCATAGCACAGCCAACACAGCTTGCTAAGCCTCACCTTGGCTGACATCTTGAGGCTATCCAAGAGGCCAGCATTTGGGAGAGCCCTGCTCTTGCATTCTTTGCTGAAGTCTGATCATCTTAATCACCACTCTAACCCCACACCCTTGTTAAGATCTGTGCTCCTCTTAAGACCCACTACTACACTGTCTTTGTACAAGACCACTAATTTTCCTATAGATAAAGCTAAATTTCAGATGAACATTTCATGTGCCTTAAGGCTTTAAGCCTGTTTCCCAAACTGCAGCAATTAAAAGCTTACCACACACTTACAAATATCAAATGAAGAATCCCACGTAAGCTTCCATAAACTAAGATCAAAACTCCCTGTGTACATATTACAATCTAAAGCCTGAAACCAGCATCTAGTTACTCCAAAGCCTCTTCTCATGTACACAGCACCCCTTTGTCTTAATTCTTGATATACTGGATCCATACAGTAAAACCTTGTTACATTCTCCACAGAACTTGCTGTACCAATCTTCCTCTTAACCTGCAGCAATAATGCCTATTTTATATTTACAGCATGAGCGTATCAATCAAGTTTGTACACACAAGACAGATGGGGTGGCACATGCCTGTATGTGGCCATAGCTACCTAAAAGGCTGAGGTAGAATTCTTTTGAGCTCAAGGAGATACACACCAGCTTGGACAGGAGATTCCACCAATAAATGAATGAATGAATGTATGCACTTGGCCAATAGCTCAAGTCTTCCCAGTCTTATTCACATAAATTACTCTTAAACTATTTCAACAAAAAAAGTGAGACAGAAAGTCAGACTGAGGTTAGGCCAATGGTACCTCCTTCATATGGGAACATTAGAAGGGAAAGTGGGGAAAAGGGGAAGGGGGGAGGTGAGAAGGGAAGGGGGAAGTAAAATGATGATGCCACATGTATGTACCAATTCTCCAAATTGAATGTATTATGTATTATAAACTTACACCAATGTTTTTCTTGAAAGAGACAGACACGTAGCTCAGTGGGAAGGTGCTGGGTTCAATATCCAGCACCATGAAAAATCTACATAAAAAAATTTTGAAATATTTACATATTTCATGTCTAAATTGAGCTACTTTTCTGACAATAAGAAAGTGTTACCTTCCATTAACAAATAGTAAAAACATTCATTTCATTTGCAATTTCTAGGGTACTTCAATATACTAAGGATTTCATTTCCCTTTTAATTTTCTTCATGTTATCACCATCTTGAATCTTTTTTACAACCTTGAAGACTTCTTCCAAATGCCATTTCACACATGAAACTTTCTGATTGTTTTAAACAAAACCTCTTTCCTGAGGTACAGGCTGAAGATCAATCACAGCAGTCACTGGAGCTGTTGTTGACAACACATATCACTGAGCCCATCTTCACGAGCCTCATCTCTCTGAGGATAAGGGCCTCAACTGTGCTTTTTAATATAATTTCAGGTTGGACTGGGTAGCACTGAAACTCCTGGAGTTGTGTAATTTGTATTGTACAATCATCTTATGATGACTATAGTCATGCCGTTCTCATTTTGCTACCATCCAAGTCAGGAGAAGCAGTTTCTCTAGCTCAGAAGGATACCACTGAGGTTACATGGGGACAGTGCTCTTAAAACACAGGCTCTGGAAAACACCTGTGATGCTATTGGTTTTCCTTCATCATTTAAAAGGTCTTACACCATTAACTAGGTATTTTCCATTAAAAAAATGTTTGTAATCCAGATTCTTAATTCTTAAGCCAAACTGCTTTATGAAGTCTACTTTATTATGTTGGGGACAGAAAACCTATTCTCAGGTATTTTGAAAAGTCATTTTTATGTAACATGTCTTTAAGATAAAACTCCAAGAGACATCTTTGCCTCTAAGTAAAATGAATTTAAAATCTACACACCATAGCTAATTACTGAACTGAAGAATGTCTGTATAAGTGAAATGATTCATTGAAAATTCAGTTTTTCTTCAAAAATTTTTATTCTGTATCAGTCTGACATGTGACAAAAGTATTATAGGCTTTGGCCTGTCTTCTAAATAGGTTTAAGCGCTTTGACCTAATCTTTCTCCAGAGGCAAATAAATATAACACCGACCATATTATATCAGCTATACATAATAAATTTTTTTATGAGAAAAAATATATTTGTACAGCTTAGTTCATGTTTTTGTGACAAATTTAGTTCACTTTCAGAGACCACCAATTTCTTATCTGTAAAAACTCAGCAGGTATTTTTTATCCTAAAGGACAAAAACGTCTGATTCAGCTTTTTTCTTGTATTTTTTTAAGAAGATACTCCATTTGTAAATTCAAGTTTGGTTGGCCCTTTTTAGTCCTTTTGCTTAATATTTTGAATACTTCCATTTTTTTCTTTTTGTAGAGCCTTTGAGCTTCTTCTCTCTGTTGTTTTCTCCTCTCAAATTCCTGAAATTATTAATATATGTTACTTTCATTAATCACAAACAGTACATTCATTTTAGAACTTGTATTGCAATAACTACCATCATGCAAACTTTCTAAGATTTTTGTTTCTCATATTTTACAAATGTGAGTAGTTTCCCAAATCTGAAGCAGTATACCATTTTCCTCACACTGTTGTATAAATCAGCAAATTGTAGTTTTATGAATATATATAAATAACATTAGATCAAAGAAAGTAGAAGGAATCTATTTATATAATTGTGTTATTTAATTAAGTCCACTAAGAGTCTGAGAGGACTTTTTTTTTTTTTTTGGTACTGGGGATTGAATTCGCGACCTTGCACTCGCCAGGCAGGCACTTATGCCACTGAGCTAAATCCCTGGCCTGAGAGGACTTTTAGAAGTTAACAGTCTACTTTTCTACGTAACACTAAAAACTTCACTTCCAGAAATCTACATATGGTTTTCTTTTTATTCTCTGAATTATAGGCTTAATTAAATGAACATTTATAGACTACTAGATATGTGCAAAACATTCTGCTAGACATTATGAACTTTGACCATTTAATATTATACTGATTTGACCTAAGATGAAGATTGAGTATAAAGAAATAGAATTCAAAGCTACAAATATTGAAAAGCCACTGTTCGTAATGTACTACGTTACTTACTAAATTAAATACAAAAGTTGAAAAAGTTCTTAAATAATGTAATAGATAGGTTTTTTCAATTCTTCCTACAACACATGTAGCCTCCAAATGACACTAGAAAAAAATGTTTTTACATGAATCATAAGTAAAACGTGTATTGCATTTGTTAAAAAACTTTTATGCTACTTTATTGTGTTCACCTTACAGATGGCACACTGAGCTCAGTGACACTGAAAATAATTTACTCAAGATCAACAAATGGTAGGGCTTGGTCTCACATCTAGAATTTTAAGTCTCCATCATGTTATACTGTTATACATGTTATATTCTCATGATGTAGTATTTCATTATCTTAGTAAGCACATAAAAAATCTAAAACTTATTTGTGAATTTAGGTATATGAAGCACAGCTTACACTAATGAAATTTCTCTAAACAAAATCATTTTCTAACTATATCCTTACCTTCAATTTTGGGTCTGTACTTAATACTTTAAATTTTGATTTCTTATGTGGCCTTGAAGCCTTATAAAGTTTTCACTTATTAATTGGAATGGCTTTATTCTGGGCTGCTTGATATTATTGCCTGTGATGAAATGAACAGCTATTTTGAAGAAAACAAGACATCATAATAGCTAGTGCTGATTTAATACCATCTTGTTTTGATGCCCAACCAAACTATGGCTCTTCTGTCTCCATTGGTTTTATCATGTTGTACCTTGCTGGATTTTATTATATGTAATAGTATAAACAAAAATTGTTATAGGCAAAGAGATAATATAAAAACCATTGTTCGTTTTCTGTTAGCTGGTTCTAAATACGCTACAATGCTTTCATCCACTTGAATGGTTTTACACTGTCTTGATATGTCTGATGCTATAGTATATGAAGTTATATTCAAATATTTCAAGGAAAAAGACACTATGGTAACTACTATTAAGTCGGGTTATTTGGTGGTGAAGCACTAGGTTGTTGAAACTGTCATGCTTTGACCTGTATTGTTATGTTATTATGTCCTCTTTTATCTCAATCTCTCCCTTATTCATTAAAAAAATTATTTAATTATTTTTTTATTACTTTTTTAACTAAGGGGAAAAAATCAAAACATTAGCAGGATATATTATAGTAACTTTTTTGATTTCCTATTAACTTGATTTGAAGTTCTGTAATACTCCCACTATCTTGTTTTGACTGATTATAGACTCTGTTCCGTTCTGCATGATAGTATCAAGTTTGAGGGTATAGGCAACTACTTTAAAGGCAATAAGATTCACTATGATGCCCATTCTGGTTTGACTATTATTCTCTTTTGAAGTCCTGTAATGTTTACAATGTTTAGGTTTTACTGGTCTTGTTCTCTACTGTTTTGGTCAACTTTATAATACCTAATGAGATAGACTCTTCTTAAGGAAGCAAGAGGCATTATGGTAACCATTGTTGATAACCTTGTACTCTGTTTTTACATCGTGTGCTATGTCTATCCTTGGTTTTGACTGATAGCTTTACTTTGTCATATTTGATTTTATTCTCTTCCAAAAAAAAAACCAGTAATAACTATGGGAGTAATAAAACCCAAAATGTGTAAATTTTGTTGTAATAAAGAGAGGAAAAAAAAAGTGCTCTAAAGGATACAACAGCAAGTGTGTTTAGGTGTGTTAAATAGATGACCGTATTAATGTTTTTGACTGGATCACTGAACACAACTGTTTGCAGTCTCACTGTTTGTCCACTTTGTACGCTTTGATCCTGTGACTTGAACCACTATCTCTAGGATGATAATGTGTAATCTGTTAACCGGTGATTTCTTGCTGGTTTTTTTTTTTTTTTTTTTTTTTTTTTTTTTGTGGTTCTGTATTACTTGTACCCTTACGCTGTTTTGTTTTGTGGTTTTTTCTCTTTTTCCTTTTAAATTAAAAAAAAAAAATTTTTTTTGATTCTCATTTGTAATGGTGTCAGCTTTTAGATTAATATTTAAGATCTGAAAACTCTAAGAAACTGTTAATTTTCATAATTACATAACCCTACCCCTCCATAACAGAAATTTTAAAAGGATAATAAAAGTTTAACAGCCCCTAGGCTTCATCTGATACACTGAGGGACAACACAAAAGGTGGTAGAAAAGCTATAATGTAACAAGTATAAAATAGGTCCAGTATTTTTATGGAGATATGTTTGTTCCATTTTAGTCTGCCATCAGATTAATAATAATCATAAAAATTTTAGATGTTAAACTCAGTTTTCTCAATAGCACATATTCTAAAGCACAAATAAAAAGGAAACTATATGGGGTGTTTGTGATTGGTAAATGATAAATTAATCACATTAATATAAAAAAACTATCCACAGCTTCGCAGTTTCAACAAAATGAAAATTTTGCTGAAGCTGTAAATCATTTTGTTTACTCACTTGGGAAAGTCAGTTAATCCTGTTCTGAATAATAAAGTGGCAACTTGCTGTTAAGTTAAACCAGTTGGTTTTTTGTTGGCAAGACCAATTCTTAATGTTTTATTCTAACATTTTCCCTTTGACTTTTACTTGCTTCTATTACTGCGTAACAGCTTTTAAATACTATTTCTGACCTACTGGTATTACCTGAGATAATACAAAAATTAGAATGATTCAAATCTCCAACTCTGCTTAGCACAATCATTCATTCAAGAGACCACTATATGCCCAACACCAAGAAGCACAGCTTACATACACTTAAGATGAGTAAGAAGAAATGTACCTAAATATTTTTTTTAAGTAGAACTTACTTGTTTCTTAGCAGCACGCTTAGCTTGTATCTGCTCATATTCATCTTGTGCTTTTTGATTGGATGTTTTCTTTTTCTTTTTCTTAGGAACAGTCATGGAACTTCACAAGACAAATTAAGACAAGTCACAAGTATTAAAAACGACTTAGTCAAAATTCTGGAGCAATGTGGTGTCAAATATAGTACTTGTACAGTAAAATCTCACTAATGCAAATTAAACAGAAGAAACTATAGTCTCTATTGGTCTATTATTAAATGTCCAAGAAAAATATTAAGTTGCAGCTTTTAAGATTAGAGATCAACTAAAGGGTGTGGTAAATGGAGATTCTTAAGGAATATTTAATCAGGGAAAATACACAAAGCTTTGAAAATCCTAAAATGTTGAAGAATTCAAAAAACACTAAACTGACAGATATGATGGAAGTTGTGGGTATAAACTTCAATCTCAAAGTTCTTTGAACACCTTGTCTCTATTCTACTTCATCTACTTAGTCACGAATCACTGTCATGTGCTGTACCTAATCTCCATTTAGAAGCATTCTTTCTTAAAAATGTTCACCTCTTTTAAGTCTTCCTTTTGCCAGAGTTGACTTGATTACTTGGGGTTTCACTTATTTCCTCAAGTTAACGTTTCTTTCCTTGTCTCTCAACTCTTCACCATCTTTATGCCATAACTAGAACATATTTCTATAGCTCCCTTTTTAAACAAAGCAGGTTCTGTCTTCTTCTAACTACTAATTTTATGTTTTAATTTTTCATAGTCAAGTTCCCAGAAACAGTCCATCTTGTCATTTTCAATCAGTGTAACTATTAAAATACTCTCAGGTCATTAATAATTGCCTGTACCACAAACGTAAAGAATTGTTCTCAGTTTTGTTTTCTACTAATTTTATAATATCTAACAGCTGAACTATTCCTACTCTCAGTTTTCTAATGTTGGCCTAGCTGCATTCCCCAAATCCCCCAGTTCTGACAATTTCATTTGATTTCTTCAATGACTTTTTCATGTTTTCACCTCAAAATAAAAATTCTGTAAAATATATATTTATCTTCTCATGTGCCCTGATTTAACCATTTTCAATCATCACTGAGAATGTTTCAAACATACATTTCTTGTGTTTATCTTTTCCATAGCTTTATCTACTATTTAATGATAAGTCTACTACCTACTAAAAACATGTAACTTTTAGTATCCCTGTATTTATCTCCAAATATATTTTTTTCCTGTGGTTCTATTTTCTTTCTTTTCTTTTTTTTTTTTTTTTTTTAAATAAACTCACAACTCCAAAGGGCAAAATTTCAGTGAAAAAATTATGGTCCCAGTAATGCCTGACTTCTCTCCAAGTTTTGACTTTAACAGGTTTTCACTTGATATAGGCAGTTTTATAAGTTAGCTCTCATGAAACATTGGTTTTACAAGCTGGATAAATGGCATGCAATTTTTTCTTTCTCCAACCTATTTTTATCCTTTGTAGAAAATCCAAATTAGTAACATGAGAAGTATTAGTAACAGAAGTACTTATTATGTTTTACTCATCTTTTTAAATTCCTGATATAAATTAACTGAGTCATCACAATCTCTTGGCTTTAGGAACAATGTTTACCTGAGTGAATGATCCATGTGTGATGCTCTGGAGCATAGTGTCTCTCAATTACATACTTACTATCTTTCTTAAAACACTGGAACACCAACACATGAAATCTGGACCTGTAGTCCAAGCTGTTAATGATTATTCTCTTAATACATCTCAAAAATTATTTTTTAAAAATATTACTGACAGAAGTTAACAATAGTATAAACTATATACATTTGAGAGACAAATTTAAAACTCAGATCTTTAAATTCTCATTTTATTTCAGTTATATTAAACTAATCCAATTTATTGAAAGTTAAAGACTCCACGTAAACATGCTCACCTAAATATACTGACATTTAAAATGTGTTAGTAAGAAAAATTCCAATTGCTACACACATTATCTTTCATAAAATATTATGTATATTTGAAGTTAAAGACTACTGAAAAAGAACATACCTTACTGTTTTGCTACATTGCTCTGGATGAGGCTGATCCTGATCTTCAGACAAAGCACCCTCAACTATACACTGTTCTCCAGGGAAAGGCTGGTTGACTTTTTCTTCTGACAAAGGCTGTTCAGCCTTTTTTAGCTGTTTTCTGAGTCTTTCCTCTTCAGCTAAGTAGAGATGTTTCAAGTGATCTGGATACTGATCTGTGAACTGAGATTCCTGTGATGTTCTAGCCTTCTTTTCCTTCCATAGTAATTTCTTGTAATTTTGCTGAATCTTCAATTTTCTCCGAAATGCAAAGCCTTGTCCTACAGTGAAGAATAAAAATCAAAATCACAGTAATAGAATATAAACAGAGCTAAAAATAAAGCTTAAATACTTTTTCACACTCTCAATTCAAATACTAGAAGTATTTTACTTTGCTTTTCAGGTTGTCAAGAAACAAATTTATGTTGATGGAATAAACAGCAAGTTGGTCCTTTACAAAAAAGGACCAACTAAGTCAACAGCCACGCCGTAAAACCTCAAAGAAAAACTAACCAATTAAAAGACTGTTGTACCACAGTTTCAAATCAAAACACACTTCCTGACAAGTCCAGTTTTTTTCTTTTTCTTTTTTTTTTTTTGGTATCAGGGATCAAACTCATGACCGAGCGCTTGCAAGGCAGGCGCTTATGCTGCTGAGCTAAATCCCCAGCCCCAAAACACACTTCTTAAATCACCTAAAAAAAAAAACTTAATACGAAAAATTTTATCATTTATCTCAGAGAAAGTTACTAAAAATTTATTTTCGAAAATAACTCAAGTAGCAAAGACAGTGCGTGACTTTGTGAATACTTAGCAACTACTTTTAGACTGAACTTTTTTACAGTAACGCTTCGAAAAGTGACCTGAGCACCCTCACAAATAGCAAAAGACCAAAGGAAAGGGAAAAAAAGTGGAAAAAGACTGAAGGTCTGCTGAGGTGTTTGCAATCACCAGGGCTTTGGGTCATTTCTAGCCCATAAGGCAGGGGCACAACACACATACACACTGGAGCCGCAGACACTCTCCACCGTTATAGAGAAGGAAAGCAATCGTGAAAGGGAGCATTGCGGGAAAGACTTTTAAACTTCAAAGTGAGCAACTCCGTCCGTCTTCCCAAGCAGAGGAGCTAGGGAACAGCTTGGGCTGCCGCGAAAAGGCCCAGACTTGGCTCTTAGGCAAGTCACGCATGGTAGAGCTTCCTTGGCCTGAGGACTTGAATGTTGGGCTTCTTACCCTCGCGGACGCTTCCCGCGAAGGCCTGTGGATGGTTAGGCCACCAGGACCTCCGTTTCACATTCTTATTTTTGAGTCCGACCGAAGAAACCCCTTCGTCTCGCACCCCTAAACCACTAGTCCGCCACCTCGCCGCCGGGCTCACTGGCGCCATCTTGTAAAGACTACATTGACGGAGGACCCTCGCGGACTCGCCCGATATACGTCACCAGGCTGAATCAATCGATCGCCCTACTGAAGTCGGGCTCGGCGCTCTACTGGTGGTGCTTGTACTACTTCCGACAGAGCCGTCGCCGCACCGCCACGTTTGCGCCACCTACCGCCCAGGAGGGTGAGTGTCATGGCGGCTGTGTACCCTCTCCCGGTGACCCAGGACCTGCCGATGCTGCGTACCAAGTTACAGAGTCTGTCGCGGTTTCTGAAGGACGCCCTGACCATTTCCAACGCACATACAGTGGACTTTTACACGGAGTGCGTGTGGAAGAGGCTGGTGGACTTGTCTCCGGAGACGGTGCTGGCCGCGTTGAAGCCGGCGGCGGAGGCGGAGGCGGAGGCCGGGTTTTCTGAGGCGCGCCCCCTGGTGGAAGCGGAGAAGGGATCAGGTGAATGGCGTCCGTGTGGGAAGGGAAGGCAAGGGGAAGGTCCTGGCCTGTGAGTTGCGCCCTCTGTTGGGAGCCGACCTGAAGCCCGTGGGCGGCGGGCGGAGGCGGGGCGGAGGCGGGGCGGAGGCGGGGCGGAGGCGGGGCGGAGGCGGGGCGGAAGCGGGGCGGACGCTCTGGCTGTGGAGCACGCTGTTGGAGGAAACCAGCTGGTGACCGCGAGAAGCGGGGCGTGGGACTCACCACTTCTGTGGGGTAGCTCCTTTGAGTTTCCGCAATTTAAGGCAAACTGGAGAGGGTCAGGGGCATTCATTCATTGAGCAGTTCTGTCTTATTTTGACAGGAAAGAAAGGAACGGTTTCTCGCAGGGTTCATAGATTTTTAATGGGGACGTGGCAGAAGATAATTCAATAGTTAAGGAAATACAGTTTCACCTCGTGGTAATGGACAAGTAGAAAGTCAAAACAGGGTAATGTGATAACGAATGCGTAAGGCGGCTGCCTAAACTTCAAAGATCCGGGACAGGAAAAGGCACCAGTCTGCTGAGAAACCAGGCAAGGGATTTCAAGGCTTGGGCACCTCAGAGTTGATCTGGCAAAAGCCAGGTGAGGGACGGAGGCGGATGCAGTCAGCCAGGCTGGCTGGGGTCACATCACGCAGGACTTTTAGGGCCTTCCAAGGAGTTTAGGTTCTTAGGGTGCTGGGGTCCATTCGGAGCGACATAGTAAACTAAGCTAATACACATTTGGGAAAATACAGTCAGAGTTTTTGGACCACCGGTGGGGCCTTAAAAGAATAAGCTGAGAGGACAATTATGGGACTTGCACAGGAAAAAGGTCTTTGTATGCTGGGTTAGAATAGAAGTAGTGAAATCTTGCATATTCAGTAACAATTCATTTTTTAAAACTGTTTATAAAATATCTGTTACATGCCATGAATTTCTGTAGGCTCTGGAGTTTCTTGCCCTCAAAACGCTTAGATTCTACCAAGATTTATATTTTGGAAACAGAATGACCAAAGGACACCAACACCTAGAACTTTTCCGAGCTTGCTTTTAGGCTTTCCAAACATTGTGAGTTCATTCGTACAGATTTCTGTAAATGCAAAGTACCACTGGAGGGACCATGTGTAACAGCGTTTGGTAAACACGTCTTCCTTAAAGTCACTATGGTTGAACATTTCAGGACCTCTTTAGCTTGCTCTTAAAAAATCTTGTACTTGTGTTAGCATGACAACTTTATTCAGACTCATAAAGAGCAGAAACCATGTTTGTCTTGCAAACTTATGTCTTCTCAGCACCTGGAAACATACTTGACATACATTAAGTACTTAGGAAATATTTGTTGAATGAATGGTCCTTGTTAACTTTCAAAAGGCAAGAAAGAAAAAAACATACTACCATTAAATATGGAGTCCAAGATTTTCATGTGTGTTTAACTCAGTCTCCGTACAATGAGAGAATTAGATTGCCTCACATATCGTAATAATTAGATTATTATTGTATATCACGCAGTGTGGTATTTTTATGAATATTTTATCTTTTAGTCTTCGCATCAGCTGTGTAAGAGGTTCTGTTACTTTTAATTGATAAGGCTGCAATTTAAGTTAATTTCCCAGAGAAACCTTTCACCTGGCTCAGTTGACTCCAGAGTCTGACCTTTTCATATCCATAACAAGTGTACTGTGAATTAAATTTAATTACCAAGTTCATTTATTATCAAGATCAATATGTAAAGCTACTAATATTTCCACTCGATTATTTTATAGTGTTTCTTTCCCCTTCAAGAATGTAAGATTATTTTCTTCACTGCCTTTTCTCCAGCGCCTAGAACAATGCCTACTCAGAAGTTAATAGGTATCCTATCAATCTTAGTTAAATGAATGAATGAACTGGTTCTCTGAAAGTGAGAATAAATGTAGTTATCTTTTAGAGAAAGTTTACAACCATCTTTTTTATGTATCCAACAATGGAATCTAGACTAGATTGCTAACCTTTGAATGTTTGTAGACCTTTTTATACAAAAGAGTCTATTGTACAAATTGTTAGCTCCTATTATTAAAAAAGAATACATTCTAATATTCTCTTTGTATAAGAAATCTTAATTTTTACTTATGAAAAGATAGTGATTTTTCTCTCTCACTGTATGCGGCCCTTTATTTGTGTTGGAGATCATTAAAATCTTTTGACTAGATTTGTGCCTTATTAAAGCATTGATAGCTACCTTAGACAGTATGAGTTAGCAGTTAGATTTGTAAAATGTCAAGTCAGAGTTCAAATTTCCATTCTACTGTGTACCAATTCAATGATTTGGGAAAAACTTATTTTTTCATTGAACATTTACCAAGTGCTAAATATGTGCCAGGAATTTTTCCAGAAGTTAGGGAATTAGCAATAAACAAAACAAAAATATTTCCTTCATGTTGCTTGTGTACTAGGAGGAGGAAATAGCCCTTCCTCCAAAAAACAGTTTTAAGTACCATGGATAAAGATAGATAAGAAAGGAGTGAATAAAAAGAGGTAGAAGAGGAAAATATAGTTTGTTTTATGTAGGTTGTCTTGGCAAAACTTCATTGAAGTTACTCTGAAAGAAAAGACTTAGCTAAAAAAAAAAAAAAAGTACCATGATGTTAACCCCAGGGGAAGAGAATTCCAGATTGTGAAAGTAGAGAGTACAAATTCCCTGAGGAGGAAGAATACAGGTATGTTTAAGGAAAAGCAGGAAATAATGGACACAAACAGAAGTATTTCCCCTACCTACTTACCTACCAATCTTTCCCCTACCTACTTAAGCTTTTAAAATTGGGTCAGATGTTTTGTTTGCATTGCATAACTTATTGCTACTGTGATTCAGTGAGGACCACAAATGATACAAATGAATTTAAACTTAGTGCTTTGAAAGCAAAGGAGAGGCAATCCTTGAGCATCTCTCCTAGGATCTCACTACAATCAGTATTCTTCTAATTTGCTGTGGTCATTGATAGAGCTAAGAGTAGGTCAGTCATCGCTAACCCTTCCAACCAAGGTCTGTGATTATTTTTATATTCTGATTTGGTTTTGCAAAAACAACTCAGTGTTTCTCAGTATAGTTCTGAGCTAGGTGTCGTGCGTGTATGCAACAGTGAAGGTGTAGTCTCTGCAAAACCGTATGGTACATCCCAGTAGAAGAGACAGAAAATATCAACTAATTGTATAAAACACAACGAAAAGATGAGGTGTTCCATTATAAGCAGAATTTTATTCTATTTCCTTCTCATTTGATGAGGTCTGAGAATTACATTCTGTTACATTTTTTTTTCTTTCTGTAACATATGAAAATCCTGTGCTCCTAAGCATTACGCTGGAACTACTTTTTTATATAATTTAATTTCCAGCTGTGGGACAATGCTTTTGTCCAAAACTAGTTGACTTCATTTTCCAAGTAAGTTTTCAATAAGTTTTAATTAAGAACGTGTATATATCTCAATTATGGAATTGGTTTCTGGGTTAATTTTTTAAATTCTTCCTAATAAAATTCTATTCCCTCACCCCTACAAGTCAAGCTGTTTTTCATTTATTTTATTTGCCATGTGTTTCTTAAAACTTTTCAATGCCATTTTAGTAGGAATTGAACTAATCTTCCATGACAACTACTTTACATAGTAGGCACACACAGTTAATTTATGTTTTACCTAATTTATTTTTATTTAGCAAATGAATTTCTAAATTTATGTTTCTATGTGTATTTTCCCTTCACATTAAGCTATAAAGAGTCTGTTACAGTTAAAATACTATGTTAAATATTTCCATTTTTAAATTTGATTTCATTTTTATAAATAATGTACTTAAATATGAAAATACTTTTGCCACGGTTAAATGTACTTATACATTCAACGTGTTGTTTTAATATCGGTACAATAAAGACAGCATGTCAGTTCCTTAATCATTCCAAAAGCATAGTTTCTAGGTTTAAATAACATATTTTTTCATTTCATATGCAACTATAAATGAAACTGGAAGCGCTTAGGCAGAACATTTCCTAGTATGCTATTAGGTGATATAAATTAACTTCTTCTAAAGCAATAGGATGTATTGTTTTCTCCCTGGGTAGATTATAGGGTGATTGATAGACTCAAACATTCATAAAATTTAATTCATGTTTAATTTTTAAAGTTTGGTATGACACATTTTAAACTTTGGTTAAACTCTATGAAACAATTATCAAAGTGCAAGCCAAAAACAACTACTATAGAAGCCAAAGCCTTAAAATGTTGATTACAACTTTCTGGAGTAAAAATAAGTTTCCATTTTAGAAAACAAGTCCTGTTTAGTTCACCCAACATTTACTGAACATTGTCCTGGGTTGGGGGTTACCAGTAAGGAAAATACCACCTCTAAAACCACTGGGGAGACTTAATAGGTTTGAACCACAGCTGTGATGGGAGGAGGGGGTTTCCAAATGAAGGACTTTTATAAATCAGGGTAGACGGGTGGCTAGACATGTGGACTGAGGACTCAAGAAACATTTATGATGATATATTTATCTCTGACAATGGGTGGAAATGCTTTTTAAAAAGAAAGCAGGAGAAAGGAAAGATTTGAGGAACATAAGAACATTCAATTCACTTGTGAACCTTTGAATTGAGGGCCTCCATAGGCTATTCTTGTAGAAGTTAATACAAAGTATCCCTCGGTCTTTGTGAAGGTTATTGTTTAAACAGAACTATTGATTTTGTCTTGAAATTCTGGACTGTATGTTATGTGACATTAACAGCTACTCCCAACCCTTGGAACACAGTTAAATCTCCAAACTTAGCACATAACTGCATTTTATCTTATGTCACATTCTAAATGTTCAAAAGCACTCTTGTCTTAACCTGAGATTGTAAGAATTTGGGCTGAAATCAGGTTTTATGCTTCTCTAACAGGCTTAGTGGTGCTATTGAAGTCCTCGTGGCCTCAGTGATTACAGCCACCACAGAGTCTTAGGGGCATTCGTTTCTCCTTGTGTAGTTGGTGATGCTCCAATAGTAAGTGTACTGAAGTATTGCTGTCATTCATGCATGTGTGCATGCATTCATTCATGCCGTGTGTGAAGTACCTGTTTTCCACTGCAATTAAAGCAGGGATATTTGTTTTACAAATAGTGCAGTAAAATCTTCTAAAATATTTTATTTTTTTCAGAGATTTACCAATTATTTTATATAAAAAGATTATTTTTAAGCTTTGGAAACTTTAGGATCACTTTTGGTGGCAAGGGGCACCGTTAAGCAAAGTGAAGAAAGTAGTGATGCAGAGCGCGTGTGAAGTCCCTTACCGTGTCACCGTGTGTTGACCTCTGCTAGATGGAATTCTTGCCAAACCGTGTTCTGGCAGTTAGGTCTCACTGCTTTCCTTTTCTTCTCTGTACTGTCATTTTGCCTGATTTCCTTTGTTGTCCTCTGTGCTTAATAGTGTGGCATGCTAATGAATGTGGGAAGTAAGAGCAAGGTCTCAGGTCACTCAGTTTACTGGCCCTGCCTCTTAGTGTCTGTGAAAATTTGGATTAAGTAAGCCATCAATGAGTCTCAGTTTTCCCTCTTTAAATGGGGACAAGGGATTAATTTACTAGTTTGCAAGGATGTCACTGTTGAGCACAGTGCCTGACCCACAGTATATATGAGTAAATGTTTGCAGTAATATTGATGAGTTAAGAGGCCTGACAAGTCACATCTGCCTTAAAGTGTTGTGTGACATTCAACTAAGATAAATCACTTTACAGTCAAGTAACATTTATTTTAAAATTTTTATTTTCATTAATTTTAAGTATCATACATTAATTCACTGGTTTTGTTTTTGGCTGTGAAATTTTGTTATACATTTGTTGCCTTGAAATATTCATATGTGACTTTTCTGTTTTTCCTTGTACATTGATCTCTGATGTAAAAAGAAAATAGTGATATTTATAGAAAATAACCTTCCCTCTTCTTGTCTGATTAACTTGTCTTGTAAAACTGTCTAAAGCTATAAAAAATATCTGTGAAATAGTGGTATAGGTTGCGCAAAAAAAGTAAAATCATGTACAGGCCCATAAAGCCTATCATAAAGCAGAGCGGGAACTTCCAGAAGAGGGCAATGTGAGCAAACTAATCAAGTCCATAAAATGCCGGTGCAGTGGGCAGCGGATTTTTTATAACAAAGTTTTCCCATACTTCAAAAAAAGTATTAACTATATTTAAGTAACACCGTGGCTTCTGTTTGCTAGTTGTCAATCTCATACTGAGCGTAGAGGCATCCAGGGAAGTACTATGACAATTTTGACACCTTCATCATAGCCACATAACTTTCTCGAATATTGTTTCAGAGATGAAAGTGAAGACAAGACTATCAACACCTCTATTTCCCTCTGAATCTTTAAAAAATAACCAGATTGTGGAAGTTACAAGTTGTATTACTTTAAAAACAAACCAAAAAATACCGCAGCTGTATTTCCATAATTCAAAAATACTTTATTCATCATGGAGTTCTTGATTGAGTAAACTATAGTTAACCCTAACGACGAACTATTGGACTTTCCTTTTTTTAAAAAGCATTGTTGAAAAGGTAGTATTATAATTGAGGTGTTCAAGTTTTTAAAATTAATGATGGGCTTATAATTCAAAGCAAATTAACAGTGTAAATTCAGGTTGGATTGAAATCCTTTCAAGTCTTTTTAGTAGGATAGTAAAGTTGATTTGAACCTTTACTTTCAACCAAAACATCCCATTTTTGTCTGTTGGCAACACTGTCCAATAACTAACTATTGCAATGGTCCCTCTGCACACTGAGATTTAATGCTCTTATTCTGTCACTGAGAAATTGCTGCCCAGGAACCTGGAGATGTTGAGACTGCCTTTAAAACTGAGAGTCTCACGACTGAGTTTTCCCCTCTGTCTCATGCCTCAGTATTTCGATGTGGATTTTATTACTTTTGGCTGCATGAGTAAATTCAGTTTGTAAATTGTCCAAAACACTCTATATAATATATAAAATACATCTTAAATTCATGACAATAATTTTATTATCCTACTTTATATTTAGTTGAGTCAAAACATATAAATTATGCATCTCTGAATTTTTTCCTGTCAATGAATTTGGTACACATTACCACCATGAACTTAAGATAATAGCCTTAAAAAGACATTAGCTTAAAAATATAACTTTTACTTAAAATTCTGTAGGCAATCAGTCATCAGATATCTTACTTTCTGGTTCTGTCAGATAGCAGCATTATTCTTTCTGTATATGTGGATTTTTATAATTTTATAACTAACTATGAGAATTATCAATCCTACAGAAGATTTCATGGCATATAGTAATTTTTTTCTTTTTTGTTGTTTCCTCTTATTATTATTCTTTTTGATAAAACCAAAGTTGTTCACTAGATTGCCCAATTTTTTTGGTAAGGTGAACATTTTCTATAGCTCAGTTAACCACTTGATTTTTTGTTACTATTTTTAGTTTCTGAATAATTGTCAATCAATAGACTTATTAGTCCTCACTATCCAGAGTTTCCTTGAACTACTCCACACAAATTGGAATCACTGTTCGAACCCTCCTACATAAACTGACACTGCTTGAAAATAATCATAGAAAAATAAGACTGAGCATATCTGCCAGTACATCATGTATTCCATCAAAGTAAGCAGAGTTATGCAATTATAATAAACCTAAATATTCAGTGACTGCAAACAGTGAAGTTTTATTTTTATTCTGTGTCCATAGTAACCTGATAACACTTCTATCTTTGCCCTGGTCAAGCAAACTAAGGTTGTGGTGGGTTCCATCTCCGTATAAACTACAAAGGTAGGAAAAGTTATAAAACTGTTAAACTTCTGCTTTAAAATGATACAGTTCATCTAAGCAAGGTTTGGACACACCTGGGTTGAATAGGTTGCTTACCAGAGCACCAGTATTTGTAAACAGTTCAACAGTTTACTCTTCTACATTTGGGAGCAGTTTAGAAACTATCAATAGTTCTGTACTACAATTAAAGAACATCTGGTTGAAACTAACCACAGGAAAAGTGTTCCATTTCCCCAGATTGTAATCTGATTAGCTCTGGAGCTCTTACACTGACAGTGCTGTAAACACACGCGTACATCCCACACACACAAGGGAAGATAGTCCAGATGAGGCACTGTCTTACAGTGACATTTGTACCACTGAGGTTTTACTGTTGCTCCATAGGCAGTGTGAGTAAAGAGTGACAATGTTGCAAGGATTGACTTCTATAAAATGAACAGTCCTAGGTCAGAAAGGACAGTTTACAAGTGTAATACCTACTGTTCAGATTTCAAAATTTTGGGAGAAGGCTCTTGGAACCAAAAAAAAAAAGTCCAAATTTTAATGTGACACTTCAGTATATTGTGAAAAAATGTTAAAACTTGGTGCTGCAGATAGATAGTAGTTTAAATAACAGTTATAAATGGAACTACTTTTAGGAATTGCCACAGTTGGCACACAAATGAAAATATGTAATTTGACATAAAATTGTTGTTCATTCTCATACAGATTAACTGTCGACTATTTATTGCTAATTTTCTTTTTCTGCCCTGACATTTTAGGTACTGACTTTCCCAAAATATTTTGTGAAACTTCTCAGAGGCTAGTGAATGTGGAAGCCTTTGCTCTGGCTGCAAAACGCTGTTCTGTACAAAACTTGGGAATCTGTACTCCTTTAGAACAGCTGCTTATAGCTCTTCGAGGAAATAAAAAACAGAGAACTGGTATGTTCATTTGTGTATGTAAGTACATTTGCCTTTTAGGTATTTGGAAACAATTTATTATTAGTCTATGTGTATCTTTCCAACTTCGTTTATTAGTAAACCTTGTAGACCCTGGTAAATTAGCTTGTACCTAAAAAAGTAAAGTTTTCTGTTCTATTAAAGAAAACAATGTATAGGTTTTTGCATTTTTCCTGGGTATCTTTCCTTCAGCTAGCTGCTGCCCCTCAAACAAGACTTGCAGAGGAGTGATCCAAACCCCAAAATGCGTGCATCTCTTTTGTTGCAGTAGGCTGACGTTTTATATGTCTAATTCTTTGGGAAAAGGCTGAGAAAAGTGCATAGGGGTATTTGGGAGTGTGAGGAAGAAACATGAATGTCAAAAAAGTGTGGAAGGCACACATTAAAGCACAAGAAATAAAATAGATTAAAATTCTGCTGAATGAAAAATTAATTATAAGGAGACTATACACCCCATTAAAAAGATCAGAAGACTGGTTAAAAAAAAAAGATAGCCCTCAATATTGAGGTAGAAGCTGCTTTAATGATAATAGTCTAATAATAATTGTTACGTTTATAATAAAATAAGGAATCTCAGATCTTCTTTGTATTCCGCAAAGCTCTTTACTGTTATCTGATTTGATTATTTTCTCACCTTTTTATTTTGAAAATATCAAAACCTACAGAGGAGTGTCAAGATTGCACAGTGAACCCTGTATATTTTTCTCCTAGATTCACCGTTTGCTAAAATCTTGTCACATTTGTTGTGGCTCTTTACATACACATTCACACATTTTTATCTGAATCCTGTAACTCATTGCCCTCAGATGTGTCAGCATTTATCTCCCAGAACAAGGACATTTTCCTACATGTTCCATGTCACATTTGCACATTTTAGACTTTAACACCTCTACAATAATAGTATCTAATAAGCAGTCTGTAGGCAAGTGTCTCTTAAGCTGTAAAAAAAAAAAAATACTTTATAGCCATTTTTCCTTAGCACAAGAATCTTTCCAGGCTTACCTATAACATTTAGTTGTAATGTTTAATCTCTTCAATTTAGAGTAGTTCCTCAGCTTTCGATTTGTTTTTCCTAACACTGTTACTTTAATGCATCCAAGTCAAGTTTGCTTCTTTCCCCTGATTAACATTTACATTATGCATTTTGACAGGATTATTACTTAAGTAATTCCTTTTCATGTATCACACTGAGGCACCTATCATTTTTCCCATTATTCATGATAGTGATCACTTAGTGAAAGTGGATCCATTGGAGTTCACCATATAAAAGCACTTTCCCTCTTTGAGTCCAGTTCTTTAATTTTTTTCTTTTGTCTCTAAATTTTCTAAGCAAAATTATTTCACAGTATTTCTTCTGGAGCAAAACAAAGAGCTATTTGGTAAATCATGGTTCTTGGCTCCTAATGAGTTTGCCAGCAACACTGCTATGGGGGCTACACTCCACGCTGTCTAAAGCACTAAGAGTTTACCCTACTAAGAGAGAGCTGTTGTTGACCTGAATTAACTGAGGGGACATCTGCAAGGGTAACACTCATGGCCCCTCCAGTTTATGAAGTATAAGGACTACAGTTTGGGCGTCAAAGTAAGAAAGAATGTATCCTTGGCTGAAATAAACAGTGAAATTGCCAGCCAATGGGCTCTATCTTATGCCCACTATAAGACAGTGCTGACTTTGGTAGAGGTGCATGCTGATAATAGGTGAGGATGGAGGGAGTATATTCCTCATCCTGGATACATCAGCTTCTTTGTTTGTGTCAGCTTTTTTATTTGCTCCTTTGTTAGTAGATTGAGACTGTTTCTATTGTGAAATCTAAACTTCTCAAAGGACATGTCCTAAAATACTCTCAGTATGTAACTGGAGACTATCCTTATAAGTGAAATAAATAAGAATCATATTTGTGAATATCAGATTGTCTCTGTAGTGTAAAAAGTAATAAAAACTATAGGAGTAATAAGATCTGAAATGTGTAATAGCTATTGTAAAAAAGAAAGGGAAGAAAAATGCTCTAAAGGATATAAATGCATGTATAAGTTGTAAGATAGATAACCATATTACTAAGTTTTGTTGGATCATTAAACAGAACGGTTTACACTCTCATTGTTTGATTGTCCACTTTTCATGCTTTAATTTTGTGACTTGAACAACTATTTCTAAGATGACAATATGTAATTTATCAACTAGTGATTTCTTAGCATTAATTTTTTGAAATTCTGTATTATTTGTACCCTTTTTTCTGTTTTGCTTTTTTTAATTTAAGTAAAAAAAAATACCCGCAGTATGTTACCAAGAAAGTGTTTGTTGCTAAATAGTTACAGAACCCTAAGTAACAGCCATTTATAGCTGGAAAGAACTTGTCCGTAAGGTTTCCATTGTGCAGTGATCCTAGATTAAGCCAACAGTCAGGCATTCTCCAATGTGAACTCTCTCATTTGAAATAACTGCACCACCACTATGTTTGAATTTGCCACATTGCCCAACTCTTGCCTGTCTAATGATCTTGACTACTTATATGCATTGGCCATTTTAATGTGCTTCATAATGTGCTATATATACCATTTGCTCTAAATGCTGTCCTATAAAATGTTTTTCAGTGATAGAAATTTTCTACTTACGGTTCTCAGTATGTGGAAACTGGTCATGCGGGACTTGAGCGCTTCGGGTGTGACTGGAGTTGTTTTCAATGTAAATTTAAATAACGAGGTGCCCATTAGCTTCTGCATTGGATAGTACAGATAGTGAAATGACTGTTCAAATTCTTGCTTGTTTTCCCTCTTGTGTATTCTTTTTCTAACTGACTTATAAGTGTTTTATTTTTGTGGCAGTGCATCCTAGAAATATTCCCTTGTTGTGGGTTCCCCTTTCACTCTGTTAAAATGTCTTTTGATGAGAGGGTTTCTTTTGTGATACAACTTATCAGACTTTTCATTTATAATTATTTGCTTGTGTCGAGCATTTTTAGTAAGTCTATAGATCTTATTAATTCATATTTAATTCATAGCATCTGAATTATAGAGATCTTTCACTGGCACACAGTAATCATTTGTTGTCAGACTTAATTTAAAAATGAATATTAATCATTTTTTTAAATGAACATTTACTGATAATTTTATGAAATTAAATTTTACTTTAATAGCAGTAATCTTGGTTTTTTTCCTTTCAGATAACAATCTGAAGCCACATGAGTTTATGAATGTGAAAAAATCTCATGAAGTTCAGGCAATGTCAGAGCTAATCTCCAGTATTGCTGATTACTATGGAGTAAAACAAGTAAGAGTACTTCTCCCTGTGTTTTAGGTATTAAAAATATTGCCCCTTTGTCAGTATCATTAATTTCTTTTTATGTTGTTATTTTCTAGTCTTTAAAATTCCTTAAGTAATAGAATTTTTTAAATACCAGATCTTTCTATATATTGTATTTCCTGGGATGCTACAATTGTAATGCATTTATAGTACAGAGGTATAATTTAATGTTCTACCACAACTTTCACTTCTCTGAATGGATACAAGTGGAGAATAATTCACTTTGATAGTTTGTAACTCCATCTTGAGGCAGAATTATGAAGATAAATTTCTCCAGGATTATTTACTGCTAAGTGTTCTCAGAATCTGAGTTGTAAGGTTGTGGTGTGGGATACTTTATTATGGTAATACAAAGAAGTTGTATTTTTAAAACTTAGTGTGTAAAATATATTTCTTTTATCCCTACAGAAAGAAAGCTTTGTGGAGATATTGGAAGGTTTTTTTCTCCTTTAATTTTTATTAGGTATTAGAGTCTTTCCCATGGATTTACCCAGACTCATGAATTTGAGAGTTTGAAGGTATTTGAGAGTTCGGAAGCTATTTTTAGCTTGGGATAGTCATACAGAGCCACTTGTGGTAACCTAGATCTCTGGGTTAGAGGTTAGGGGAGGACCTAATGGAATAGTTCTCAACCTTTTCTTCAGTGTGCCAGGCTTGAACAATACATATCAGTGTCAGTACTTACCTTACCTTGACACTGGTTCTTAGTTTCAGGAATAAGAGCAAGTTCACTTTTTCCCCAGGTCTCTCCTCTGTGGATGCTTCATCTGAATCCACGCGGCAAGTTCTGTTTCTAAATTAGCCTTAAATTTCTACCAGTATCCATCAAGGGGACTAATGATAAGAATGGACTTCATAGGGGCAAATGGGTAGCATTGAAAGATGCATAACGAGGTTAGACATTTAAGGCATCAGTTAATAACAGCGGGTCTACTAGGAGAGAAAACAAAGCTCTGAGGATAGAAAATGCAATTAACTGGCATTTAGATAAGCTAGATGAAGTTCATGTAGGGTAGGTATTTAGGTGCAGAGCAGGAAATGGGATAAGGTCCATCCTTTGGGAAAAAATAGTCTGAATGAGGCAGAACAATAGAATCCCAAAGAACTGGACTCAGATTCTTTGTAGAAAACAAGGCAAAACCTTAATCATTTAATTTGGGGGCTACAAAGCAAAGTAGGGCAAATACTGAAGTGGCAAAAAGCGTAATGTATACTCTTAGAAAAGGACTTCAGTTAGGATTCCTGTGGGCTTAATTTTATAGATTTTTCTTGCCATTACATATATAACGATGTCATATCACTAAGATTTATTCCCTCATCACATATTACTGTTAATCCAATTCTAGCCAATGTGCAAAATTATTTCATACCCAACTTTATTGAGATATAAATGCACCCATGTTAATTGTACAATTTGATTTTTCAAATTGTGTATGTCTGCTCATGTAAACTCTACAAACAAAATGTAGGGTGTTTCCATTATCAAAAAGTCTCATCAGGTCTCCTTGCAGAGGCATCCTTAGACACTGCTGGCTAGACTATAACTAACATGAGATAATTACTTCAATAAATAGTTTGCCATTATTTTATAAACCCGAACAATTGTGTACTCTGTAACTCATCAATTTAATTTTAGATGTGTACCCTCTCTTAGAGAAACTTGGCTCATAAGCATTAGAAAGTATGTACAAAATATTTCTAATAGCTAAACACTAGTAACAAACCAAATGTTTATCCATAGAGAATTGAATAAGCTGTGATATGTTTTCATACTGGAACATCATGTACCATAAAAGTTAAGCTATTACTGTATGTATCACATGAATGAATATTAGAAAAAGGAAATAAGCAAGTTAGAGAAAGCTGCATATATTATGGCACTTTTTAAAAAAGCAATTAAGCAAAATAGTATGTTTTCAATACAAAAATATGTGCAAAAAGTATTAAGGAAGCAAAGGAATCAAATAATAATTTGAGAATAGTTGTCATCTTTGTTGAAGGAAGCAGAGAGATACGATATAGAAGGAAAATATAGTTAAATGTAGTGAAAATAATAATATTCTAGGTTTTTGGATGTAAGTCAGCAGGAGCCTGACCCAAGGACTCTCAGGCCTTCCCACTTCCTGGTGTGCTAGCCTAGTTTCTACCCAACAATATTTGCATTTCATTCTTGTGGGTTTTCCTTACTGAATAATGGAGGCAGTGTTTGGGTAGGGTGATTCTTCAGTATGTGTTCTACACCGGGTCTCAGAATTCCCCAGTGGGATTAAACCCAAGGTACCTCATAGTGGTATCTTGCTAAATAATACACTTTTCACAAGGCTGCTATTTGTCTGCCTTTCTTCCTGTTTCTCCCATTTTCTGTTACATCACATATTAAGTCTTATTGGAAGATTTGAGTTTGATGTAACCCAAACTAAAATGAAAGGTATTTATTTTGTGCTTCACACTCAACTTGTTTACTGCCTTTATTTATTGTTTGTATGAAATACTATGTAATACTGGAAAATTTTGATTTGATAGATTTATTTTTAAAGTATACAGAAAATACTTTAGAAATAGCTTAATGTATCATGTTGTAAAGGAAGTTTTTTCATAGCAATGCCAGGTAAAATAACCAGAAATTTATGACTTCTGATAAGGCCCAAATTAGTCCATTTTAGAGTGTGCTTGGCAAATAAAAATTTAAGGTTTTATAAAATATCACTTATTAGCAATACTGTTTGATTTTTTCAATGGTTTAATTATATCATATATATACTAATTATACATTTAAATATTAAATTTAATAAATTCAGATTTCAGAGATGGAGATTCAGTTTATGAAATACTTTATCTTAGCAATGGCCATAGAGAAGTAGGTAAGAAAGAAAGAAAGAAAGAAAATTACTTTCTGTTTCAGTCACTCTACTCCCTGCATGACCAAAACTGATTTCTCACACTCACATTTCCAAGGCTTTTTAATTTTTATTTTTAAAATGTTTATCCACTCATACTTGCCTTCTTAATGTGTTCATGCATTTATGCTATTTTCATAGCTTCCACCATGTGTCAGAGGCAGCGTTACTAAGCCTACAGTAGTAAACAAAAAATATATACTTTTGCCTTCATAGCATTTATATTCTAGTAAGGTGAGATAGACAATGAAAAGGTTGTATATTGTTATATATGTTAGAATATTTTAAAGAAGAATGAAATAAAAAAAGAAGAAAGGAAAAAAAGAGTTAATATTAGAATGGATGGGACTAATTCAATGGTACTGAAGTGAAAATAGTTCTTGAAACAGCCAGGAGCCAAATTGACTCCAATAGACTGAGCAGGATGAAAATAATAGGAGATGAGGTTGAGGGGAGGAGGGAGGGCAAATTATGATGTTCTAGATTCTCAGATGCCTTTATAACGACTTAGGGTTTATCCTCAAATAGATGAATTGGTGGTGTTATCGTGTTGTGTTATAAAGGAAGCATTTTTACTCTTTGAGTTTTTATTTTACAGAGGCCTTTGCTGTTATACATGTAAACTAATTCCCTTAAGAAGTTAACCATTTTCTTTCAATTGTTTTGAGCTTTTACTTTCTTATTGTTTATTGCTACTGTATTGCACATACTCTGATAACTCATTTTTAATTTCTGTTGGACTTATTCTCCAGCAGATTGGCAAATCATTTTTTTTAGTTGTTTTTTTTTTTTGTTTTTTTTTTTTTTTGTATAGTCCTCAGGATTTTCTGTGGACAGAGTCATATGAAAAAAGATAATTGTACTTCTTCCTTTTGAATTTTTATGTATTTTACTCTTGCTCTTGATTTATTACTTTGACTAGAACTGCCAAGAAATGTTGAATAAAAATGACCACAGTGATTGGTCTATTTTTAATAGAAAAATAACAAGCCTTACAGGTTATGTAAATTATATAATTCATTTGTTTACTTGCTAATCATGCTTTTTATTACCAACTGACTAATATCCTGTCATTTATTCTGTTTTTCTTACTTCAGGTAATCGACTTGGGTTCTGGTAAAGGCTACCTAAGCTCCTTCTTGTCCCTGAAGTATGGCTTACATGTTTATGGAATTGATTCCTCAAATAGCAATACTCATGGAGCTAAGGAGAGGAACAGGAAACTGAAGAAACGTTGGAAACTCCACCGTACCCAATCAAGAGTAGATGTCAGTGGGTTGGCATTAAAAATGGCAAAAGAAAAAAAAGTACAAAACGAAATGAAATATAAAGCAGATACTGAGACATTGTATAGCAACAGTTCTGCAAAACAAGAAAAAATCTCTACCTCAGGTTTTTTGCAAGATTTTTCAGGCCCTGTAATTTCTGACATCAGAATACAAATAGAAAACCTACATACTCAACCATATGAAGAAGAAAATGTGTGTTTTATGAATGCCTTTTCTCTCATAGACTTTTTGCCTATTGATGCCATAGAGCCTATTTCTTCATTGCAGATACCCAACAGAGAAATGTCTGAAGCAAATAAAGAGAGAAGAAAAATGGTATCACAGTCAAGTGAATCAAATATATATTCACCATTAACCTCTTTTATCACTGCTGATTCAGAACTACATGACATTATTAAAGATCTGGAGGTGAGTTTGTTTTTCATTCCTTTAATTTGATGCAGAAATGTCATAAAAATGGAATTCAATTTAGTAGCTGACTTAACAAACTAATATGGAACATTAATTTAAAGTACCAAGAAAATAAAATCTAAGCATGCTTTTATTATACCTACCCCCACTGAAAATCTGAAAAAAAGTGTATTTCCATAGACTACCCAGTACTCATTTTAGTTCTCTTAAATCACCTAGAAGAATTAGCAAAAAACTAGTTGGTAAGCTAAATTCTCTACCTTGTGTAGCAGTTGTTAAAATTGTAATGCAAGAAAAATCTTAAGTATGTTGTACTTTTAACTGACACATAATTATATAAGAAACAATATGATGTTTTTGTACATTTATACTTAAGGATCCGGTTAAGGTGGGCATATGTATTACTTCCAACATTTATCTTTTCTTTGTGTGAGAACATAATATTTAAAGCAAAGAGGTACTTGGGGCAAAATTGTGTTTGTTAGATACAGTGGTCAGATATGCAGTTGGAATGGAAATATGCAATTTGTTTGAGCAAGAATAGCTTCTAGATTTTCTTTAAGGTTTGAATGTTTTCTAAACATTTCAGATTTATCAAATTATGTAATTGAAAGAAAACAGATCTTAAAGGCAGTGTATTTTGAGTTCTACAGTAAGCCAGCAATTTAATAATAAGAATTCACAGTTGTGTCCCTTCCCTCCTCCAAATACTTAATTATTTTACTCTTAGGATAGCATAGTGTTTATGTATCTTTGTCTCCTAGCTGCTTGTTTGCTAATATTATTTAACTCTGTATAATGAATACATTGAAGGATAAGATTAAATCTTCTTGCGTATCTTTAAGGCAAAACCCAGCTAAGCTTAAAGAGTGAAATTTTTACTTCTTATTCTCTTAATTGGCAATGAACTCTTCATATTTGAAATCTTTTACTTATTTATAACACTATGGCACCTAAATAAAACCTAGCTAAATTATCAGGAGAAACAGAGTGGTTACAAAGCCTCTAAGAATTGTGCTTTAGAGAGAAGAATTGTTGAGCTAACTGAATATTCTATCAACTGAGTATTCCATCAAATCAAAGCAACCTATAGGCACAACTTTTTCAGTCAGAAAGTTTAGATAGTTTTAGCTCTGTTTTATGTCTGGATTATATAGCAACATTTTTAGTAAAATATTTTAAGATAATATTTAAGTGAATTACTTAAATAGTAAATCTTGAAAATAGTTATAAAAATACTCTTGAGTCACTAAACTTCTTGTTACTTCGATTTTAAAACAAAGTAAATGATGGAAAAAATAGGAACTATCTACTAAATTTTATTGTATGATAGAGATGATACCAAGTCATTTATAGAAATTAACTTACTTGTTTTGCCACAGTGAGCTAAGGTGAAATGTTGTTATGACTGCCACTCTGTATTTTAAAATACTTGCTGCTGAAGTATTTGTTGCCACTCTGTAGAGCAGGAAACTAAGGCACTGAACAGTTAAAACAGATTTGCCAAATCTAATTCCCAAGATTATGCTATTAATGATTAGTATATAATTTCTATAATTAGGCTTATTAATAGTTAACTGATGATGATTGTTAAACCTATGTATCAATATTTATACATTTAAAATTAACTTTTGCTGTTATAAAGGGATTAAGTTGTTGGATGTATATTATTTCAGGTACATTAGACATAGTACATTTTTTTTAAAAATTGAATTAGATATTGATATGTCTATATAGGTTGCAAATCTTCACTAACATTTAAGACCAGTGAATTACTTTGGGCTTTACATGTTATCTGGAAATTGATAGGGTAATAAAAGTTCCCCAAAATCTTTGTTCCAGATGGTAGTAGTGTGTTTGAATGCAAAATACGTTTCCTGAATAAAAATTTATTTTTGCTCCTTATTTCACTAAATTTCTGAGTCATGTCAAAGGCAGGTATTATATTAATTTAAACTTTTAAAATACTTATTAATCCATTATACACGTGTGCATACATTTAAATTGGGTTTGGGATAATTAAAGGAAATATTTGATGGGAAAATTTTTAAATTCACATTGACTTTCACATTACCATATTTGAAACAGTGAATAAGTAAATTTTTTTGATGTTACAGTAGAAATACCAACTTTTCGCAACTTTTACTTGCTTTTAAAGCAATGCTTTTTGTGTATTTTTAAATTTTAGCCTCTGAAAAAGCTTAACCAATATAACTGATTGGTTCAAAGTGTGATATAAATATGCATCATATTACAGGTTTGTCTTCGTAATACATATTACATTTGTGAAATCCAATCTGTGATTTACTTTGTCTAGCTTTTAAGCAAATGTTAGTTGTAAAAGATGAGAAAAAATACAAATACACATAATCAAAAACACTGAGAAAACTCAAAGTTAGGATAAGACATCACAATCATTTTACTTAAAAAAAAACAATTACTCTAAAAGTGTATTTTTTTTTAATCTTTTTGAGACAGGGTTTCATTATGTAGTTCAGGCTGGTCTTAAACTCACATTGTAGCCCAAGCTGGCCTTGAACTCACAGCAATCCTCTTGCCTCTGTCTCCTGAGTGTAGGTATTATAGGCTTGCACCAGCACGCCTGGAAAATATTTTTATGAAAATAAAAGTTCTTGGTAGAACTTGATAATTATAAAAAAGTCATATATTTGGCCATTTAAAGACTTTACCTGAACTGTTTTCCAGTCTTCCTTTTAATGATCAAAACTGATATTTGTTCTTATCTTTAAAGGATTGTGTAATGGTGGGTCTACATACTTGCGGTGATCTTGCACCAAATACCCTGAGAATATTTACTTCCAATTCTGAAATCAAGGGAGTGTGCAGTGTGGGTTGCTGCTACCACCTCTTGTCTGAAGAGTTCGAAAACGAGCACAAAGGTACCAAGTTCTCCATGTGTCATCATTTTTATCTGTTTGAAAAATGACTCTCTTGTTTCTCTCTTGTTCATTGTTCTCTCTTGTAATATGCAGAGATAGGATCTGATTTTCATGCAAATCTAATTTACAGTATTTCTACAATTTGAAGCAGCAGCATTTTATGTATTTTATCATACTTTCTTTGGTGAAAAATGGTCTCAGTGAGTATTGTAACTACAAGTATTTGAAATCTTTATGTACTATATACTTTAGAGAACATCTGTTTAAAAAATACTCATGAGATATACTTTTAGTGAAATAGTAACGTTATTTTGTCACGAATATAGAGTTTCAAGGTTGGCTTTCATCTTCAACGCTTTCTCTGTTTCTGAAGAAATAATTGCTATTTCTCGGGAAAAAAGTTCACATAAAAGTTGGCATATTAGAATTTTAGAAAACTGGGATACTGACTACAGTAAAATAACAGTATTGTAACTGCACTCCAGGACACAGAAGGAGCTTGCAAAACAAAGCAGGTAGTAGGTTGGCAGAGATTTTCAGCACCCTACAACCCTTTATCCAGAGTAGTTCCTGAAATAACCTCTGTTTGGTGTATTTTATGTGTCACAGCTTTCTAAAAGGTATGATTTCCAAGCTTCAGGTTCAGATTACATATTTAGTCTATTAATACCATTAGTTCTTTTGTACATTGTCTTTTATTAATAGTCAATGTACTTGCTAAGAATTTTTAGGTTAGGAAATTTTATATGTAAGCATGGTAGTTACTCTTTACTAAGGCCCAGGCAAATATGAAATTTTGATTATTTTTCATTTGGTCATGTCTAAGAAGTAAAATGTGTAATTGTGTAATTATATTAAAATGAATCTAGGTGAAACAGAAGCCATATTTAGAACTGGCAAATATTTTTTTATGAGAGTTAAGCGAATTAGAATTATTTTGTCAGTATTTTAAGAAATAACTTACAAGAAATGTGCATAAAAAATTAGGAATATAGAAGTAGAATGAGAGAAAAAAAATTGACAAAAATTTCACCATACAATAGTTTAAGTTAGGGGGAGAATATGTAAATGTTTGTTTTACTAAGTAAGAAATTTTAACATAAAAATTAGAGAAAAAACTAAACCTAAAAACAGAAAAAAGTATTTACACTAAATTATATATCCAAATATTCGTATTATCTGAAAGTTACATATATTCACACATATACATATATATATTCACACATATACATATATATATATATATATACACACACATATGTGTGTGTGTCCTTTAAAAATAAAGAGAAAAATTGTTAATACAGTCACAACTCTACAGTTTTTAAAATTTTGTGTAATCGTTAATAGTGTAAGATTTGATATAAGGAAGCATTGGCTTTTAGGATAATTTTGTTCTTAGTTCAGAAGCTTTATGTTCTGTATATAAGGTGAAATGCATTTAATATTTAAGTTGAGGAACATACAGCATTCTGAGGATGATTTGTAGAAATGTTTTCAAGAACTCAAATACTTAAGCAAGATAATGTTTACTTCAGCTCCTCCCATGTAGAATTAGGTAAGCTCTGCTCAGATGCCAGTTTGTAGATCTAAAAGACTGAGCCCACAAGGCCCCTAGGATTTATCAAAGTCAGAATTCAGAACAAAGTCCTTGAGTGTGCATAGAGCTCAGATGCTCAGAAAACCTTGAATTACCAGGTATACATCCAAAAAGACTGGCAGTTGGTACCTAACTATGGTGTGAAGTTAAGGATTAGCAGCTAGACAAATTCAAGGTGAAATAAAATCTAAAACAAGTGAAAGAGTATCCACAATAATTATGCATACCACTAGGATTTTGATAGCATTCGTTTATTGTTGAGCAGATACAGTTAGGGTTGTGTGTGTGTGTGTGTGTGTGTGTGTGTGTGTGTGTGTGTATAGACTTTAGTGGTAAATAGAGTATTTTTGGCTATTTATTGGCCACCTTTATGCTCCATAGGCTGTGAGTAAAGTTGTATTTTGTGTATGTACTGTATACTGTATACTCCTGGTATGCTGTACTAAAATAGAAATTCTATATCATTATATAGTTTGATCAATACAATAAAATAATTCAAAGGGTAAATGGTGTACGTGTATAATGTGCGTGTATCTCATGTTATATGTCAAGCACTAGTTTCCATGAAGTTCTGTCCCCAAAAGGTCAAATATGCTGTATGTCCCTCACTTCAGAGCTTACACACCTGCCCCTCATCCTCACTGTATTTGCACAGCTGTTTTTAAGTTTGAATTGGGGCTGTATTGCCTTTTGGGATGTAATTTTGAGTTATTAATAGTCTAACAGTATAGTGGAGAATTCTGGTCTATACACTGCAACTCTTTATAGTGATATTTATTATGTAAACAGTGTGTGTTTTACATGAATATATGTACCCAGTAGTGCTGTGGTAGGTCATAGAGGTGGTCTGTCATGAATGTCAGTTTTCAAAAATGCCTCAAAGCTCTATGAGTCATTATAACTAACTGAATTTATGCCGTATGTTTTAAAAACTACTTTTTTAATATTATGACCTAATAATCTCTAAGATAACAAGAAATACCAGAAATTATTTTATTGCATTGGTTTATGGGAGATTTTCCCAAGTTTGGGCTGTTTGAATATTTTGTCTTAATATTGATTATTATTATTATTACTAAGTTGAAATAAAAATTGATATGATAATTTTAAAAGTATCAATATACTTAGTTGTTATTCTCATAAAAGTAGAAACAGACTATATGAGACGCTATTGATTACTGATCTAGATCCAAGCTTTTTTTTTCTGTCTTGCCTATTGAGCCATAATTTTGTTGGGCAGTCTTGAGAATTAAGAAAATTTCAGTTACTCTAAATTATATTAATCCCATTGATATAGTTATGAGTATAGAACACAATGTTAGCAATAAGGCATGAGAAGCATGCCTTCTAGGAAATTTCTGCTAATTTTTTTAAACTGAATATAAGACAAGAATATCAGTTTTCTGTCTTTTACACATTTGTTTGGCTTAACAGGATTATCTGTATCTGTCTACCATTGGCTTAAAATATATTCCACCAGAAAGTATGGTTAATCTTTTCTGATCCAGTCTGAGGGAAGAAAAGGTAGTTTTACTTTTACTGTAAGTTTGTTTGATTGTTTCAGTAACTAAAAAGAGCAAAAGGAGTAAAGAAAGGATGATTTCAGACAGGTCAGGCAGTTTCATAAAGCTCTTTTCTGGCTTTAACAGGAGCCTCTATGAGGAACATCCCTTACCAACGCACAGAATTTTGCTTCTAGGCTTCTTCCCCACTTTCTTTCAACCTACTACCTGAAACTAGTACTATTACTGCATTCACAATATTTCAGAGCCCAAATATCTGTGGCATAACTCTTGAAAGCCCACACCCTGATTTCATGTTTACTCTCTGTCTCTAATGTGTCATAAAATGATAAGGTGATTACCCCATGAATTCCTCAACTTACATATTTATTTGCTAGCACAGAGTCACATCTTTCAGTGGCCTTATTTCTGTATCAAACAAAAATGTGTTAAATATGAATGATACCTCTAGTATATTTTACGTTACCTATAGGAATTTTAAGTAAAGAGACTGAGTCTTTTTCACTGTCTTAAAACTTGGTTTTGTAGCCTTAAATTTAGATATACTTGATCTGAATATGTATGTAGGAGTTGAAGAAAAGACATTTTGAGCATATTGTTTGAAAATAGAAACACTATTAAGCTTGTCTTACATCTTGATACTTTTAAGTATTTACTATATGGTATTAAAAAATGTTAGGGAAGCATTAACTAATTAGCATTAAACTATATTGTGTTATATAGAAAGACATAGCTAATTTCAGAAATTTGTTTTTGAATGGTTTTGCTATAAGATAGTAGTCCCTAAGAGAACAAAAATAGAAATGATTTTATTGCAGTGCTGTATAGAGTATACGTTTTCCCAAGCTTGACCAATATTTCAATATTTTGTCTTAATATTGAATATCATTGTGCTTAATTTGAAATATTCAGTGAGGCATGAGTGGTGCATCCTTGTAATCCTAGGATAAGCCTTTCATTTCCAAAAGGAAGTAATAAGGGGATAGAAAATAATTGGACCAAAGCAAGACTGAAACCCCATGTGGCAAACATTAAGTCCTGTAGCTCCATATTCATTATCTGGAAGAATCACATACTGGTAAAATGTGAGTTCCAAAGGGTTTGGGTGGCTCCACCTCCATAGCATTGCTGGTCACACAGCCTCTTTCTTGGGTGGAATCATGACCTGCAGCTTTCCTCATAGATATTCTGCTGTCCTAGCATCTTCAGCTTCCTGAGGTCTCTTGGACCTTTAGCTCCATTCTCAGTTTCACACATTGCCTTCTCAGGAGTTCATTGCCTAGATCCCACAACTCTTGCATTCTGTGTTCCAGTATAGCCAGCATCAATGTAATGCCCAGGTCCAGTTTTAGCAGGAGGAGCAGGGAGGCAGCCTTAGAGGATGACTGTAGTAACCTCAAAGTACCTGAACCATTCAGCAAAGTGAAATTAATTCTGTGGAACCAGTTCCCTAAGAGGCCCTTGTTGAGTTCCCAAGGATTCTCTTCTTAAATGAAAAATGTCTACTTTTGTGCCTTTGATGATTGGTGTCTTACTATCTGAGATTTCTTCAGCATATTTCATCTTACGTATGCAAAATACTTGGCTTCTTTTTAATGGCACTAAACTCTCTAGAAGGCATAGCTTCTTTAACCAGCTGTACATATGATTCCTTCTGGGTCAAAATTTATGTTTTACAAGTTTTTCTGCTCTGCTTTTTGCCCCTAGTTCTTATGGCTAAAAGCAAGCAGCAGTACCCATGCCATTGGACTGCCTTTGAATTTCCTCCACCAAATTAAGTAGTCCAGAGCTATTAATCTCAGTCTTCTGTAAACTCAAAGGGCATGGGTAAAATGTAGACAAAATATTAGCCAGAGTGTAACACGCAAGGCAATTGATCC